TTTATACATCTGCACAGCGTGTAGGAGTTTATACATCTGCACAGCGTGTAGGAGTTTATACATCTGCACAGCGTGTAGGAGTTTATACCTGTCTCTTATACACATCTAGATGTGTATAAGAGACAGCCCCTACCCTCACCCCTACCCTCCCCTCTATCCTCACCTGGGCCCTGAGCTCGGCCCTCTCTTCCCTCGCCGCCGTGAGCTCCTGCATGAGCACCGCGTTCTCGAGGTCGAGCTTGAGGGCTTCCCTCTCCTCCAGAGGGTAGTGCGCCGTCAGAGGGTCGGTCAGCAGCGGCTCCAGATGGACAACTGAGGCGGCCATATGTCTCCTGTCCTCCTTCAGTCTGTCCACCAGCGCCCGCACCATCAGCTCCTCCCGACGGCTGATGTCCTCCGTGCCACAGCTGAGGGGGGTAATGAGGGATTAGTAGGAGGGGTTATGAAGAGGTTTATGAGGGGACTAATTAAGGGGTAATGAAGGGATAATTATGGGGTAGTCGAGGCGGTGATGAATGGGGCAATGAATTGAGTAATGAGGGGATAAAGGGAGTATTAGGGGTAATTAGAGAGTAGTAGAGGGAGGGAGGGGGGTTAATGTCACTGCATTCCGGTTACTGAAATCGAAAGACGAAGACTACCACTTCAGGTTAACCTAACAGACATGGTCAACCTCATTCAGTGAATTAAATTGACAAATAATCTTGTCTTATTACTGAAATTGTTATCTTTCAACTCCCTTCCCCACTCACCCGTCATCCTGTCTACCATCTTTAGACAGGCATCCTGTCAGTTCCTTCTCGCAGCGAGATAGGAGGTGACGGGCGACGTTCTCTGTCGCCCGTCTGTGCTCCTGGGACATCTTCATGGCAGACAGGAGGTCATCTTCAGACGGGTCTCTGGGTCTGGAACCTTCTCTAGGTTCATTCATAGATCCCTCTCTTGGTCCGTCTCTAGAGCCGTCTCTAGGTCCGTCTCTAGGTCCGTCTCTAGGTCCATCTCTAGGTCCGTCTCGGGCAATCAACGCCCTTCTAAGTTTCAACCCGTCTTGGTATACCTCTCTGGATTTCAGCCCCTGTTTCAACCCTCTAGATCTTTCGCTAGCCCTATAAGTGGCCAGAAAAAGCCCTAACTCGCTCTCTAGTAAGGCAACTAGAACTTCTAGCGCCTCAACGGTCATGTCTAGAGTCTCATTGGTAAGTTGTAGTGCCGTAGCGTTGGACTCGTATTTACCCATCAACATACTCAGGTGATCGCAGTGAGACTTTGACTCATCCAGGGAAATGTTCAGCACGGTATTCTGCGCCCTGAGGTGGTCGAGTTTTGCATTAATTCTCTCGATTTCGACTTGGTATTCGTGAAGGCGGTCGTAAGGGGCGAGCGTCCCCCCCGCTGAGGCAAGGGCATGGAAGAGCTCCTGAGAATTGCTTTCTTCGTTTAAGGTGGTCGTAAGTTGCTCGGCTACTGACGTGCTCGTAACTCCTACGTGTCGTAAGTCGCTGCCCGTAACTTGGCCCAGAATCTGAAGAGAATCGAAGCTTAAATGGATTACAGGGATAATGCGATACGTTAGAGGTACAAAGAGGATAAGGAAAAGAACTTGGAAATGTTAAACTGAGATTATTTTAGAACTTATGTATAANAGTTATAAGCCATTGCTCGCCTGTTGTTACAAGACATCCTGTTTATGTATATCTCGTCTGTTAGTTATAAGCCATTGCTCGCCTGTTGTTACAAGACATCCTGTATATGTATATCTCGTCTGTTAGTTATAAGCCTGTTCTCGCCTGTTGTTTCAATGCCCGCCGTTCTTGGTCTGCAGCCTGCAGCTGCGTCTGTTGCTGCTGTCGTCTGTTGTTGGCCATAACAGCAATTTTGTGCAGCCGTCTGTTCTCTGCACGCAGCCGCTGCAACAGGAGCAATACGTCTGCAGGCGCAGCTGTATCTTCCCGTAGTACATCTGCACAGCGTGTAGGAGTTTATACATCTGCACAGCGTGTAGGAGTTTATACACATCTAGATGTGTATAAGAGACAGGCGTGTAGGAGTTTATACATCTGCACGGCGTGTAGGAGTTTATACATCTGCACGGCGTGTAGGAGTTTTTACATCTGCACAGCGTGTAGGAGTTTATACATCTGCACGGCGTGTAGGAGTTTATACATCTGCACAGCGTGTAGGAGTTTGTACATCCTGTCTCTTATACACATCTAGATGTGTATAAGAGACAGGCGTGTAGGAGTTTATACATCTGCACAGCGTGTAGGAGTTTATGCATCTGCACAGCGTGTAGGAGTTTATACATCTGCACAGCGTGTAGGAGTTTATACATCTGCACAGCGTGTAGGAGTTTATACATCTGCACAGCGTGTAGGCTGTCTCTTATACACATCTAGATGTGTATAAGAGACAGGTTTATACATCTGCACAGCGTGTAGGAGTTTATACATCTGCACGGCGTGTAGGAGTTTATACATCTGCACAGCGTGTAGGAGTTTATACATCTGCACGGCTGTCTCTTATACACATCTAGATGTGTATAAGAGACAGAGTTTATACATCTGCACAGCGTGTAGGAGTTTATACATCTGCACAGCGTGTAGGAGTTCATACATCTGTACAGCGTGTAGGAGTTTATAAATCTGCACAGCGTGTAGGAGTTTATACATCTGCACAGCGTGTAGGAGTTTATACATCTGCACAGCGTGTAGGAGTTTATACATCTGCACGGCGTGTAGGAGCTGTCTCTTATACACATCTAGATGTGTATAAGAGACAGGATGTTTATACATCTGCACAGCGTGTAGGAGTTTATACATCTGCACAGCGTGTAGGAGCTGTCTCTTATACACATCTAGATGTGTATAAGAGACAGGTGTAGGTACATCTGCACAGCGTGTAGGAGTTTATACATCTGCACGGCGTGTAGGAGTTTATACATCTGCACAGCGTGTAGGAGTTTATACATCTGCACAGCGTGTAGGAGTTTACACATCTGCACAGCGTGTAGGAGTTTATACATCTACACGGCGTGTAGGAGTTTATACATCTGCACGGCGTGTAGGAGTTTATACATCTGCACCTGTCTCTTATACACATCTAGATGTGTATAAGAGACAGGTGTAGGAGTTTATACATCTGCACAGCGTGTAGAATTTTATACATCTGCACAGCATGTAGGAGTTTATACATCTGCACGGCGTGTAGGAGTTTATACATCTGCACAGCGTGTAGGAGATACATCTGCACAGCGTGTAGGAGTTTATACATCTGCAAAGCGTGTAGGAGTTCATACATCTGCACAGCGTGTAGGAGTTCATACATCTGCAAAGCGTGTAGGAGTTCATACATCTGCAAAGCGTGTAGGAGTTCATACACCTGCTTGGCAATTTTTCGGTTTTGTCGAAGACTTTAAAAAGTTTATTATTATAGATGTTAACTACAGTTGATTTACTGTATAATGAAGAATCATTGTATCAATACAAATTGAGTTTTGTCTCAATTATGAGACCGCGTGCACTAGATATATTTCAGGTTAGTTCGAAATAACTATCATTAGTCTAAATGGACTAAAATGAAATGTATTTAATGAACTTGGACCCATAATTGAGACAGAACGCCATAGTTGTACAGGCAGTGATTCATCATTATAACTCAATTCGAAATAACGAAGTAACACTTAGGAAAATAAATAAATCATAAGAACACTTAGGAAAATGAATAAATCATAAGAACACTTAGGAAAATAAATAAATCATAATAACACTTAGGAAAATGAATAAATCATAATAACACTTAGGAAAATAAATAAATCATAATTACACTTAGGAAAATGAATAAATCATAATAACACTTAGAAAAATAAATAAATCATAATAACACTTAGGAAAATGAATAAATCATATTAACACTTAGGAAAATAAATAAATCATAATAAAACTTAAGAAAAAAATTCATACATTAATTCTGACGCACCGCAGCTCCCTTCAAAAGACGCGTCGTGTAGTTCATCATGAAGCACGTCAATTTCTTCGTAAAAATCATCCAAATTTTCGTCAAATTCATCGTCTAGGTTATCGTCATCATCGTCATCATCACCGTCCACATCATCGTCCACATCATCGTGGCTGTGGTCCTCAGGTAAGGACGCTGTGGGTGTGGACCGAGCGGTTCTGTGTGGTTCACAAACGTCCAAAAATTCAATGCCGTGCCCCGCCTGGAAATGAATGTATACTTAAGAAAAAATGTTAAGCCTTGAATGTTGCATTCCGCATTCCAAAAAATAATTTGTGTTTCATTAAAACCATGTTATAATAAAATAATTATTCAATTATTTGTTTAATAACTTATTGCTGTGAATGCGATGAAAATTTGTAATATAAGGTTGGAATTTTACATATGATGGAAAAGTTTGAAATAACGCGATGTGGAGTAGCGAACTTTGTAGATACGTATACATGTAGATACATATACATAATTATAAAATAAAAAATGTATTACTTAAGCTTGATCTATGGCCTATATGATATTAATTACCTAATTCTTTTATTTTTACGATAGACATTCAGCACGTAAATAATGTGCAAGCAGGGCTTTCAAATTCACTTCAATAATTATTGTGAATTGAATAAGTATTATCAACATCAGCACTGATTGACAAACTCGAATGTATGAGCGAATAATTGAACGTATTGTAAGCGAATAATAGGATCTATTGTTCGCCACCTCAACAGCCCGTTCGTCGATGTCTGCTGAGACGCTGTGGTCGGTGCAGGCGCTTGTAATGCTATTCGTTCGGGGGTCACCTGGGCAGAAAAAAGTTCAATGTTATTCGTACGATAATTTCAGCAGTACTAATATTTATGTGAGCTAAGCAAACTCGAAAACAAAGCACCTCTTACAATGAAGAACTTCTGCAGCAACGTACGACTGGCTTTCATATTTTACGTCAAGCAGCGAGAATTTTTTTTGCTGATATACAGCGCGTTAATTTGTTTGAAATTATTATTTTACGTCGTGCAGCGCTATGTTGTTTACTGAAAATCCTGTTCTCAGGCTGACATGGTATCATTATGTTCCAGAAATCCTGTTTTATGTTTCACATTAAGTTCTTGTGTGATAAAATTATTGTCGTATGTCAGGCTATATGATATAATATACTGGCTGTTGTACGTCAGGCTATATGATATAATATACTGCTGTTGTACGTGCTATTTGATATAATAATATAGGAAATTCTTCGACATTTCTCACCTAATTTGTGATTGGTTGAAGCCTCGCTGAGATCGCCCCGATCCTGGTTTTCTGATTGGCTGCAGTTTTCTCTTTCTCGCGTGCCCATTGGTCTGTGAATGAGTTTCCTTTGTTAGAAATTTTCTCGTAAAATATTTTTATATCCAGTAGGATCTTATGGGATAATATTTATCAAGGAAAACCTTATTGCAAATGGAATACATTGTTGAATTGGTTCTTGGAAGAATTACTTAAAGAAAAAATCTACCTTTTCTCGACGTATTGGTAACAAAACACAAAACGTTCGACGAAAAATTAGGAATTGTGAATTTCCCGTTAAACTACAATAGGCTTTAATTTCCGAATAGTTTCGAATAATCTCCATGATTTCGACTTTGCGCGGTTATAAAGAATATTTCACTGATGTTTTGTTATATAATAAGTTAAGATATAATTTTTCCATATAAGTCACTTTCGAGCATAAGAATGACAGGAATACATGCGTCATACATGTCATGTATGACGACCTTATGCATGACATTCCACACATGGCATTCTGTACATGACATTCCATACATGGCATTCCATACATTACATTCCGTACATGACATTCCGCACATGACATTTCGTACATGACATACTGCATGTACATGGCATACCCTACATGACATTCGATACAAGACATTCCATACATGACAATCCATACATGACACTCTGTACATGACATTCTATACACGACATTTCAAATACGGCGTTTTACATAAAGAATCTCATGCAATACCTTCCATACAAAACGTTTAGTTCCAAACATTTCAAACAATAAAGTTCTTAGAACAACTTTCACACATTGCCTTTCGTGGTCGAAATTTCATACATTTCAAAAATACACCCAAAACAAGACATCCCACACTAGACGTCCCCCACGCAAGGGCATAAAAGGCTACACAAGACCACACAAGGCCACACATCCCACACAAGGCCACACATCCCACACAAGGCCACACATACGCTTGGGTCTCGCTCTGTACAATAATCGTCGCCCGCGAGATCATTTTTACCCACATTCATTTGATGCATAAATTCTTCATGTCATGAATAAAATCACTATAAAATCACTTCTGGATAAAATGAAAAACGAAATACTTCATTATTATTGATTTTAAAAAGATTAATGCACTATATTCTTTATATTCAGATTTTTTGATATTTTTATTATAGATAATGTCTGCTTGTAGGAAATTTATTGGGAAAACATATTTCTGGGCGGTAAGAGACTCTACGTTATGTCATTTAAGGCTTGCATGTGTATTTTATAATCTGCTCTGCACGTGTATGTATAATCTGCTGTATAATCTGCTCTGCACGTGTATTTTACATCAATAAGTACATAACTGTGTCTCGTAAATGCGTCCACAATAACACTATTAAATATCGTGATGTTCTCATAATACAAGTTTGGAAGCAGGAGTTGCGAGATAAATGTTATGACATCTCAAAAGCGTCAGGAATATTGCAGAGAGCGCATACCATGAGATAATTAAATGTCAGGTTCAAATTCCGCAGAGTTTTTCAATAAATTCAACGTTTTCTGTGATGGAACTGATGAGCGGATACTGAAACTTTTTTCAATCTATTCATAAAATCTTAAGAATGGTCAGATAGGGTAGTATCAGGAGTGAACACTTTCAATTTATGAACTAATAACAACATTTATTTTACAGATTAAATAAAACCTAAACTTTTTAATCAATTTTGCGTAGTGTATACATAACCAACATTAAACTAGCATCGCATTGCAGAAATACACGCCTCTGGGTAACCTCAGAGCATTTCTTCGTAAACAAATAACTAATATGAGGCTAATTGCGTTTTCCAGTATATACAAGGTCAAAAAGTTCACTGTAATTTTTTTATTCAACTGGCGGCTGCACAATGCACAAGCCACACCCTTAGACAGATTGAAGGCCCAGTGGTTACAGTTCAGAGTACCAAAATTGGCGCAGAGAGGTGCGGGTTCGATCCCAGCTCTGTGCGCCAGTTTCTGGTCAGAATCGGCAAGGAGGCCGGGCGGTTAAGCACAGCAGAATTGTAGCAGTGCGTTGCAAGTTCGAGACCTCAAAATGCTGTGAATGTTCTGCGATGTCAAGAATCGGCGACAGGCCTATGGCCTAATAAACGCTGAAACCGCTATGTTATATATTATCAATTTTTTAGATCGTTTCAAATGATCAGTGAATACAGATCGTTTCCTTTCAGCACATGGGTATGGTTATGTATATTTAAATCGAACACAGATCAATTTAAAATATTACAATTAAAATATTTAAGTGAAGACATAACTGCAGACCTGCACTCACAACACACGCGTTNCTTTCCCATACATTTAACGTCTTCATCTTCCCACTCCGCTAACTGAGAACACTTCTCCCTCTCGTAACCCAGTCCCACTCACCCCACAAATCCCCACTCATACACCGCCGCTCTCCACTGCCCCACCCCCTCCTTCACTCCCCCACTTGCAATCGATATCTCAGGTCCTTCACTGGGAAGTATTTTGAGCCACAAGTGAAGATTTAGGAAAAAAATTTTAAAAAGGAATTGAATGTTTGAAAACCGATAGCACTTAATACGACGAAATGCATTGTGTAGAAGGAGGCAAAATGCGATTGACTCTTGACTCACATACTATAGCTCATTATTTTCAAGTTAAATGTCAGAACTTGTTAGTTTTTCAGTCGCCAATAATAAAATTTACATAGTACAGTAGCTACCACCATATTGAAGCCAATCCCTTAGGCCTTTTTACGTCACCTTCCATGTCGTGTATGCTCTAACATCAGGTGGAATTTGAAATACCTACTTATTTTGTCGGGATATTGTATTTAGGGGCTGTTGGGGCGCGTATCCAGGATACTTATCGTGTCGGGATATTGTATATANCGGTCCCTGTGCTATATGCAGTCCCGTATACGGTCCCTGTGCTATATGCAGTCCCGTATACGGTCCCTGTGCTATATGCAGTCCCGTATACGGTCCCTGTGCTATATGCAGTCCCGTATACGGTCCCTGTGCTATATGCAGTCCCGTATACGGTCCCTGTGCTATATGCAGTCCCGTATACGGTCCCTGTGCTATATGCAGTCCCGTATACGGTCCCTGTGCTATATGCAGTCCCGTATACGGTCTCTGTGCTATATGCAGTCCCGTATACGGTCTCTGTGCTATATGCAGTCCCGTATACGGTCCCTGTGCTATATGTAGTCCCGTATATGGTCGCTGTGCTATATGTAGTCCCGTATATGGTCGCTGTGCTATATGTAGTCCCGTATATGGTCGCTGTGCTATATGCAGTCCCGTATATGGTCCCTGTGCCACTCACATTGCAGTTGCCACTCACAGTCCCGCTCTGTTGCCAGGGGCCTTACTTTCAAAACTCGCTAAGTGAACGTAAGTACTTACGCTCTATTTTCTCGTCTATGATTGATGGATTTTGCTTGAAAGGCCGTCAATGATTGGCTGATGAACTTACGATCTCTTAACTTTTTTTGAAAGTATGGGCCCTGCTGGTCTATAGCCCCTCGTAACATGCTCGAACCACCACACCATGTTGACGGGGTAACGGCGTGCGTGTTTACGTCAACACGCGTGCGTGTTTACGTCAACACGCGTGCGTGTTTACGTCAACACGCGTGCGTGTTTACGTCAACACGCGTGCGTGTTTACGTCAACACGCGCGCGTGTTTTGCTGTCCTACAAACACTCCTACATGCACCACGCACGGCTTCCACCGTTTGTTTATATCAATGTTGGGACTAGTTTATGAAACTCCACCCTTAAATCCATTGAAAGATTATTTGTGAAAGTTATTTATGTGATAGTTATTTATTCACTGATGGATCAACACGTTATTTTTAAAAAATATTATTATTGAGAAGACATGTAAAAAAAGCAAATGCATCCAAATATTCGAAAGATATGAGTATTTTTATATCGAAAAACTTATGATAGGACAAAATTCGTCAATATTATCTTGTAGGTTAGAATAAAACATCTTCTAATATTTAAACTGCAAGCCTGGCACCTCTTCTCGCCCTCACGATGGCACTGAGAAACTGTTTCCCTTCTTTCCAGTGAACTAATTTACTAATAAACATTCTAGTGCACCACAAACACCACTACACATGTCGTCACCAGCTGTGGTGTTCATAACAGGTTTTACTTACAATGAATTTTCTTTGTTAAGAGGGGGACAAGGGAGTTAATAGGGATTAATGATATTCGAGGAGCGGATGCGCGCTCCTCCCTCGATGACAGTCCGAGGGTAACTGAGGGCTGATCCCAGGTTCACTGGCCTCGGGAGTCCTAAAACCGAAGGAAGTTGATGTATTAAAACCACGCTAATCGTTGCATTTATATGAGGAAACTTCGAATTTATTTTTTTCTTTGTTTAAAAAATCAACCAGAAAAAGTCAGTTGCTGGGCTGATGATACAGACGCTGATACGAGCTTTTATATAATAAGAACCAACGCCACGGCTATAGGAACCAACACCAGGGGCCACGGCTATAGGAACCAACAGCAGGGCCACGGCTATAGGAACCAACAGCAGGGCCACGGCTATATAGGAACCAACAGCAGGGCCACGGCTATAGGAACCAACAGCAGGGCCACGGCTATAGGAACCAACAGCAGGGCCACGGCTATAGGAACCAACACCAGGGGCCACGGCTATAGGAACCAACACCAGGGGCCACGGCTATAGGAACCAACACCAGGGGCCACGGCTATAGGAACCAACACCAGGGGCCACGGCTATAGGAACCAACACCAGGGGCCACGGCTATAGGAACCAACACCAGGGGCCACGGCTATAGGAACCAACACCAGGGGCCACGGCTATAGGAACCAACACCAGGGGCCACGGCTATAGGAACCAACACCAGGGGCCACGGCTATAGGAACCAACACCAGGGGCCACGGCTATAGGAACCAACACCAGGGGCCACGGCTATAGGAACCAACACCAGGGGCCACGGCTATAGGAACCAACACCAGGGGCCACGGCTATAGGAACCAACACCAGGGGCCACGGCTATAGGAACCAACACCAGGGGCCACGGCTATAGGAACCAACACCAGGGGCCACGGCTATAGGAACCAACACCAGGGGCCACGGCTATAGGAACCAACACCAGGGGCCACGGCTATAGGAACCAACACCAGGGGCCACGGCTATAGGAACCAACACCAGGGGCCACGGCTATAGGAACCAACACCAGGGGCCACGGCTATAGGAACCAACACCAGGGGCCACGGCTATAGGAACCAACACCAGAGCCACGGCTATAGGAACCAACGCCAGGGGGCACGGCTATAGGAACCAACACCAGGGGCCACGGCTATAGGAACCAACACCAGGGCCATATATATACATATATATTATTGCGCTATACTAGACGATATACTGTATAATTTATACGCTATGTTCTATGATATCCTGTAATATTTCTGAACTACAATCGATAATATTATGTTATATTTAAGCATTATTTTACAATATATTTGTGTTATTTATGCACAAAGTCCTATGATATTTTGTGTAATTGCGCTATATTAAACAAATATTACTGAGTAATAAATGTTCTTTATTTAATGTGACTGCACGCGAATTCAGTGGCTTGGACCTTATGCTAAAATAATCTTCGTATAGTACATATGAACTCGGATGACCTCGTGCATCGCATGATAAGTGATAATAAACCTAATTAATATCTATGCATGTGAGTGATTGCATCAAGTGTTGATATAATATCTTCACGATATATATGGATATATATAATTATAATTATATCATATATCGTGAAGATATTCACGATATAATTATGGATAATATATCATATTATCCATAAATAAAAATTATTATAATATATTATATATACAAGATTATATATAATTATATATGGATAATATAATTCTTCACGAGGAAAAACTCACGAAATGTTTTATTTCGAGGCATGAATGTGGGAACGTTTGAAGCGGTGAACATGCGTTCTATGGGGGGTGAGGGGATGGGGGAGATAAGGGTACAGATAAGGGGACGGATAAGGGGACGGATGGCAGGAGAGGAAACGCTGCAGTGGAAGGGGATGTCATAGCAACTGCTGTGCAGCNGATGTGGTAACTGTGATGTGGTAACTGTGATGTGGTAACTGTGATGTGGTAACTGTGATGTGGTAACTGTGATGTGGTAACTGTGATGTGGTAACGTTGATGTGGTAACTGTGATGTGGTAACTGTGATGTGGTAACTGTGATGTGGTAACTGATGTGGTAACTGTGACGTGGCAACAGACGTGGTAATTGTGACGTGGTGATGGTAACTGTGGTGCTTGTAACTGTAACATTGTGCGGATAACCGTAAAGTTATGCTGGTAGCAATGACGTGAGGGATACTATGTGACATTTACACAATGAAACATTGACACAATGTGACGTTTATCACCACGTTGTTATGGTATTTTTGAGACACAAAGGTAGCGGAAGAGTAGGGATGGATCACCGCTACCTGGCACCTGACGGAACGGAAATCGAAGAGAAGCAACTTAATGTTCCCGAGCTCGGAGTGTTTATGAGTACTCATGTCTAGCTTAGCAATCACATATTGGCAATAACTGCGATAGGCAGGCGGCAGATGGGGTTGATCTGGTAGACATTCAGAACAATATCAGCAGAGCCGATTATCACACTCTTTAGAGCACTTATCTTCTTCTTGAGTACTGCTGCCAGCTATTGACCCCATTCACGGTGGGTGCAATGCGACAATTGGAAGCGGTCAAGCGAACCTTCAGGCCCGGGAGAAACGGTATGGTGAACCTGAACTACAGGGCAGGCTGGAGCTCCTGTGTTTGTACTTACTGCAGACGGGACGAAAAAGCTAATTGATTCTTTACACATGGTAAATTGCGACAATTGGCCCCTAACTTTGAAATCGAAACCTTCAGGATTGTGATATATAAAATTGTGGGAAGGGGGAGAATGCACAGGATACCCCCATTACACAAAAAGCTGCGTTCCGATTGCAATCGCTGCGGGAAGGATCCTTTTCCGTGGCGGGACTGAGATTGTTTAACGATTGTAACAAATCGCGCCCAGTTCAGGGCAGATGCGCGGTAATTACAGACTGATCCTCTTGGTCTCGGCGGCGAGGAAGACAAGCCTGCGGACCTCGGGAAACAGAGGTGACGCTCCAGAGTGGCCTGGAACTGTTACGTCCGAAATACATACTTAGGATACTATGACGTAACTTGTGAACCATGACTCATAATACAGTGCTTTTGTATGTCATATCTCCGAAGGTGTGCAGCGACTCAGGTCGTACGATGACCTACGGGGAGTACGGGGACCACCTCTTGCGGTGGGGAGGATACCTGCAGCGTCAAGGGCTGGTGAAGGGTTGCGTGGTAGCGGTGCTTAGCCCCAACACCATCGACCTGAACCCCCTTGCGTATGGCACGATGCTTGTCGGCTGCGTCTACACCGGCATCAAACCCCGGTATCTTCCTCTTTCATTACAACAATATAATAAAATAGAATATAATACAGTGTTTATCTTCGATATATGTACCTCATCACTACATATTAAGCTACACTACGTAGTAAATGAATGGATCATATTTCCCAAAAAATGACACACTTCCGGGAAGTGTGTCACTATTTCGACTTTACCCGGAAAAAATGGGTCAAGATGACACACCGAAGGCGAAAACTGTAACTTTATTCGCGCGTTTATTTTTCTGAACTAAACCTTAAGCTTTTAAAGTGAGAAAAAAAGTTCCTCTGACATCTTTGGCCCAGAAGGCCCTGGAGTTGGCCCAACTGAGTATTCCTTTAGTTTGCATCGGGCCGGCGGGACCAGATTCCTTGGCCCGGGCCGAAGAAATTATGATGTCTTCAGAAATCGCTTTCGCTGAACCCGCGCAGGTGGGAAAAAAAGTACACACGTTAGTTTTTCCAGTGAAACCATTTCGGTCGGAAAATCATAATCTAATTATAATAATTTAATACAGTGGTGTCGGTATTGACTAGGCAAAATAGGCCTGTTGACGATACTTAACCACCAGACGACCTAGCCGATTTCGATTTCAAATCCCCAAATCGCTTTTCTCGAGATAACCTTCCGTGCTATAAACATTAATATTCATTCTAAAATGACAATTTTGAAACTCATAAAGTTTTTTAACCCATCACATATTCAACCCCAACACGTAAATTTTTCAACGCTATTTCTGACATTTTCTGGCCATTTCTGGCAAATGCATTTTGGTACAGGTTGCCAGTTAGTAGATAAAATATCTCAGTGCATGTGCATGGCAATTGCATTTTGGTACAGGTTGCCAGTTAGTAGATAAAATATCTCAGTGCATGTGCAGCTGTCGGGGGAAGAGGTGGTGGCCGTGGTGTACTCCAGCGGGACATCAGGACCTCCTAAGGGCGTCTGCGTCACCCATAACGCGGCCATCGCATCGCTGGACATGATGAAGCATCCCATGTTCTACATCCCCGTCATTGCCAGAGGTGCGGAAGATTTAATATATTCCAGCTAGAAGAAGTTTCAGAGTTAAATTAAGCTTAATAATTCGAATGTATGTGTTAAATCGCAGAGAGCTTGAAGTGTTTAGTTCACTGTCGCGGAATACACAAATACTTCAAATGGTGTATCGCGGTATCTGCCTAATCACGGGTCCGAGGACAGTAAGGATCAATAAGACGATCTTGACTTAATTCTTTACTATCCAGCTAACCTCTTGCCACGATGAAATCCTGCACATTCAGAATTCAATTAGAAATATTTGACAAATTTGTGATTCTAAGAGCATTTAAATGGGCAAAGTTGAGATAATAAATTACATGAAACATAATATTCGGAATGTACTACAGCATGAAATAGCGATAAATCGAAACTACTTCAATGTTAAACGAGCTCGTAGGATGAGCATTTCACGATTCGCTACTTTTAATTCAAGGATTCATGAATTGCGTTCTGAACTCAGAACGAGGACATCGAATAAATCCCTGCACATTGGTTTCAAAATTCTCGTCGCTTGAAATCTAGATATGAACACATGTACGACAAGTCTTGATAACAATAAACGTGAGCCAGAATTCTCAAGGCTCGTATCAGCAGAATAAGACGAGATCTAAGGCACGAAATGTGGTAAACACCGTGATAACTATCAGCGCAGGCTAATTAAAAAACATATGCTCTGAAAGCAATTCAGTTTCATAAAATATTATTTTTAATGCTAGTAATAGCGAGTTCTGTACTGGCCACAAGTTACTTAAAGTTAAGTTCGAAACTGGCCGCTTTATTACATCTTGCTATGAATATACGCCCTACTCAAACACTGATTACTCACGTTTTCTTGACGACACATTAAGATACGCTCAATGAAACTCTCCTAAACAATATAGCACTCGATAACGGTACTCGACTAAGTTACTTTAGTAAGTTACTTTACGATACCTGTAACGTAGCAAAAGTAAAAGTGAAATTAACGAATTATGTTGCAGCGCTAATAAATTAGGGCAGACACGGTTGAAGCATTCGCTCGAATCGGTTTCCTATTCAGGCATACATTCACGGGTTTTCTAGAACATTCATGTAGGGCACGCCATACTCAACGAGCCAGACACCAACGACCAATCACACAAGGTTTAGGCAGGCGTCGGTTTTGAATCTCAGGCGTGGGTCGCCTGTCTTTGGCGGGGAAACAATCTCACTCAAATTTGTTTACCGACCGCTTCTCGAGCAAACTTCCATCACACATTATTTATTTTAGCAAACAACACGAGCTCTCGTCATTAGCAGGCACTACGATATTTAGAAAAAAACAATGACATTTTACATTAATCAGTCTTCGACTTCAGACAAATTCACCAAGAAGGCACTCCGACACTGGCGGCAGAACGAGCCTCTCACTCTAGATGAAATTCAACACACCTTTAAATTGATTGCTAACAAGTTGTGCTTGTGGGGATGAGGGGTACTGGTAACGAGATGGTTAATAGTGTGGTCGGGGTAACCGGAAGGATTCAGGGATATGGTGGATATAAAAGGGCGTCCGGGTTTTTCTTGTTTATTATCTCAGATGCAACGTGGTGATACAGGTGTGAGGTAAATTTTCTTCGTATATGATATCCAATTAAGAGACCCAGTTTATAGATATCACAACATATAGAGAACTACTAAGGAGGAGCACGGCGGAGATAAATGTTCATATCGGATCTTAAAAGTATTATAAAACACTTCGCACATTATGTTTGTTATGGTTGACTATGATTTTTGGTTGTTACTGACCATTGTTTCTATTATTATACACGTAGCCTGTCGCTGACATTTAAGGGGTTACGGATGACAATATGTACAGGATTAAGTTAGCAAGATGTCTAAATCTTATCTTATTCTAACAATACTACCGAGATCACTACATGCTACAGCATTGTCACATTCGTGCATTCACTCGACACTGATCACTCTCCTAATGACACAATTCATGACAATAATCAAGATAATCAGAAGAAACACAGAAGAATTCCAGACAAGTGAAACACAAGAACGCTTAATGGGAGATCCACACGCTACGAGTGCGCGGCATGACTAATCGAATGAGCCAGCAGCAGCGGCCTTGCCCAATACTAACGGCCTGCCGATGCAGAAGAATACATTCAGCGTTTACATTTTATTTTAACACGCTCAAGTGAACGTGACATTCACCTTATCGATGGAGAAAGGGAAAATAACAAGTGGCACGATGAGTAAACGTAATTTGATGTATATTTAATTAACAAAAGGTTTAGAGCAACCAAGAAAATTTCGAACACACTCCTCAACTGGAACGACATTATTATGTACATCACTCTGCTCAACCTAAGAATGTAGAGCTTAAAGTATGCCCAACCTTAAAACTGTCAATAAAGTACAACACTCTGCTCAACCTTAGAATGTAGAGCTTAAAGTTAACCCAACCTTAAACCACACGATAATTTCACAATTTGTTTGACAGACCAAGAAGACGTGAGCATAACTCAGCTGTTCCCGCTGTTCCATGTCGCGGGCCTGATCGCCGTGGGGGCGTTGGGGCTCCGCCAGGGCTTCCGGTTGGTCAATTTCATGCGGTTCGACCCCAGGACATTCCTGGACAACATCTTCACGTACAAGGCGCGTGCCGTGATGAGATAATCTTTGCTTATAGGGTTATTGCATTCATATCTTTATTAAAATCAGGCTTGTCGATTTTATGACATTTTGTTAAAATAATAATACCTGTAATTTTACATCCGTTTTATGGCTGGCAATAGAGAAATATCCCATAATATTAACCTATGCAATTCTTTAATAATTCAACAGTTATTTTCGTTCTGTTTTTTGATATTTTTGTATTGTGGTGCGTTTCTACCAGAGGAATGCGTCAACTGCCTGGCATTTGTGTTTGACTTATTATGGTTGGTCCGATTTGATCCACGGATCAAACTGAGCCAGGGCCCGGTCGACCGGGCCAACCATAAGGGTGCATTTTGTGAAGAATGTAACGACCATAAGGGGGCATTAACCATAAGGGGCATGAATACCAGTACCATAAGGTGCATACCATTCATTCATTTCTGGCATATACCAGAATCGGGCTCATACCAGAAATATAACACATCGTCTCCCCAGTCGGTGAAAACACGTAAAACGACGATTTTAAAGGCGTGAGTCTATACAGGTTGGGTTAAGTCTGCCAAGTTCTTTTTTTTAATAACTTTGCTGACTTGACCCAACCTTGAGGTCCGTCAGAATAGTGTTTTTAATAACACAAGGTGGTAAAAGTGAGCCCACCGGGCCCAAAGAAGTGACCTCAATGGTTCATTTGAACAGGCTATTGGGCCGGGGAAAGTAAGTTGACGTAGGGACCGCCTCTACGGGGACCGCCTTAGATAAGCGCGTTTGACGCCCCACAGGTGAATGGTGTGCATTTACTACCATCTTTGATGAACTTCGCCCTGACACAAGAAAAATTCAACCCCGAGAACTGCCGACACATCGACGCCATCTTGACGGGTGCCGCCCCTGTGCCTCAGTCGTCGGCTGAGGCCGTCATGAGGAGGGTGGGGCCACAGGCACGACTGTTCCATGGTATGGTAAAGTTATGCCCCATGAATTTAGCCCTTCTAATGGTAGCCTGATTATTACTAGTGCCTTATTATTATTTAGCCTGATTATTAATTACACATGAAGTTAGTCAGTAACTTTCAAATCGATAACACAATACTGCTGCCGGCGGCCAATGCATTGCTGATCGGTTGCCTCACTCGCACCCCGCTGTCGATGTTGTCGTACCGCCAAATTACGTTTGGCGGTATGAGAGTTTGGCAGCGACATGCTGTTCTATTTATTAGGGACGATTTAACACCATCAATGCTCATTTTCGAGGCAGATTTTAAATGAAAAGAAAGTTATATATTGATACGAACAATTTTTGAATTAGATATACCTTATTTAACACGGTTATGTCTGCAGTTGATGCGTGTGTACCTAAGATAAAGCTCGGTGGAGTCAGAAAAACACAGTGGATGAACAATACGGTTAAAGCAAAGCTAAAAGCAAAGAAGGAAGCCTACAAGCGTTATTTACGAACTCGTAGCGATGCTGAGTATAACCTGTATGCTAGAGCTCGAAATCAAGCTAAAAAAGCTTGTCGCACCGCAGTCAAAAATTTTGAAAAAGACGTTGCCAAAAACTCGAAAAAGAACCCGAAAGCCTTCTTCTTGTATGCTAGTTCGAAGTGTAAGACAAGGGACGGTATTGCTGATTTGAATGTAAATCAACGGAAGATATCTTCTGACGAGGGCAAGGCCAATGTTCTAAATCAGTTCTTTAGCAGCGTCTTCACAGATGAGGACTTGAACAGTATTCCAGCTATTGAGGAGCGACCAGTGGACTCGAAGTTAACTAGTTTCGAGATACATGAAGAGGAGGTTCTCAAGCGCCTGGTCTCCCTGAATCCCAACAAGTCATCTGGATCAGACGGTTTCCACCCTAGATTGCTCAACGAATTAGCAACCGTCCTGGCCCNGGCATGACGGAGATGTTGTTCATTTTACAGGTTACGGCATGACGGAGATGTTGTTCGTGTTACAGGTTACGGCATGACGGAGATGTTGTTCGTGTTGCAGGTTACGACATGACGGAGATGTTGTTCGTGTTGCAGGTTACGGCATGACGGAGATGTTGTTCGTGTCACAAGACCCCGTATACGAGACTCGTTACGGGTCTACGGGGCTGCTTTTCCCCGGTCTCGAGGCTAAGGTCCGGCATGTGGAGACCGGCGAGACCCTCGCCCCTGGAGACCGAGGGGAGCTTTGCCTCAGAGGTCCCAGTGTGGGTGTCATTCACTATCATTATCAGAACACTATCATCAAACTGGCTCTTCGAATATCATTATTTACCATTTAGACTACAATGCTAGTATCATCAATCACTATCATTATCAGAACGCTATCATCAAACTGGCTATTTGTATATCATTATTTACCATTTAGACTGCAATGCTAGTATCATCAATACTCTAGCCCATGCTAGTATGCTAGTAATGCTAGTATCGTCTTCACTATATAATGATTTTCATGCTCACAGTTATGATTTCTGAATTTTTACTGAATTATAAATGCATTATTAAAAAATGTTCAAAGGTCACCATGACATCCAACAATGCCTCATCATTATCATTTCTTAATATCAAGTTCTTTTTGGATTCAGATGGATGTTTGGATGTTACTAATCATTTTTTATGATATCATTACGAATCATTTCATGAATAGGAATTGATTATAATTATTATAACGTGGAGTGCTGATAATGAAGGATGTTATCTCGATGATTGTGGCGTACAGATGATGAAGGATGTTATCTCGATGATTGTGACGTGATGATGAAGGATGTTATCTCGATGATTGTGGCTTGCAGATGATGAAGGATGTTATCTCGATGATTGTGGCGTGCAGATGATGAAGGATGTTATCTTGATTATTGTGGCGTACAGATGATGAAGGATGTTATCTCGATGATTGTGGCGTGCAGATGATGAAGGATGTTATCTCGATGATTGTGGCATGCAGATGATGAAGGATGTTATCTCGATGATTGTGGCGTGCAGATGATGAAGGATGTTATCTCGATGAT